AAACTTTGAGTGTCATCATTAATACCGTAATTACTATTGCCATTTTGTTACTGTTCACATTTAAAGACCTGGAACACAGAAAGCTGGTATATTGTCAGGCTTCTTTGGGGGGAGACGCCTTCTAAACAAAGCTGTCATGCGTCCCTCTCCAGTGCAGGAAGTGGAGGCTCCAAACAAAACCTACAGGGAGCATTTCCTTCTGCTCATAAACCAGCAGATAACCCAGGCAGGGTCTCTCTAGGATGCCAGGCTTGGAAGCCCCTTTCCATCATTTCAGAAACTTTGGAAGAAAAGGCAGTAGCAGAAAATGTCAGTGAACCCCAAAGTCCTCAGCTCCCTGTCTCCCCAGAGGGCAGAAGCTTTCTGTCCCTACACAACAGTTGTGATTTCAGAGGCTCTGGAGGCTTTTCTGCACATGAACTGAACAAATGGTCTGTGGTTAACTACACTGCCTTTCCTGCAACCAAAAGGCTGGGGCCTCAAATCCACCAGGTGCTCCAATGGAGAAAGATGCACATTTTCCTCTCACGCCTTTTTCTTTCAGCCTTTGAAAACCTGCGGAAGGGTTGGCTATGAGTTGGTTCTGATGCGACAGCAATGAGTTCAAATTCTGACTAATCTGAAGACTGATGGCTCAGTCCTACCCACTGGCACTGTGGAAGAAAGGACTGGCAATCTGCTTACATAAAGACTGCTGCTGTGAGATGCCATTGAGTCAAAGATAACTCAGACCCTATGAACAACAGATCTGAACCCTACCCAGACTATGGCCAAGAAAACCAGACAGAGCAGCAGTTCTATTCTGTAAACTAGGGCATCACCACAAATTAGAATCAACTCAATAGCAACAGGGTTTTTGTTTGTTAGGGTTTTTTTTTTAAAAAAAAAACACCACAAAAACAAAAACACAAAACACAAACAAATCTGAGGGCACTTCTAGAAACCTCTGGGTGGTCTAAACAGAGAATGTACACAGCTGCTAAATAAAGGCTGAAAGTTTGAGTCCAAGCACAAGAGCTATGGATGAAGGGCCTAGGCGACCTACTTGAGAAAAACCAGCCACTGACAACTCTGTGGGGCCTTCTGTGGAAAATCTGAAATCAACCCCAGAGCAACTGGTGCAGGAGCTTCTGTTCCTGCATTCTTCCAGGCCTCACCTGTGGCTCCGTACTGGCCCTACTGATGATTTCCCTGCCCACAGGTGATTGAAGTGGGGATGGGACAGACATGGTGCCACAAGGACCATGGTCACGGAGATTTTAATGGAACAGGTGGCCCAGCCCTGAGAGGCAGCTCATGCGGCAGTTCTCCACTGTTACCAACGAGGACAGGAAAGGTGGGGAAATGGGGTATCGTGACAGGACTCTCAAGACTGACTGGCATATTCTAGTGCAGTGGTTATGGCGGTGGTAGAGGGTTTCATAATGATAATTTTGCCCCTCAAGGGGACATATGGCAATGAACAACTGGAGTCATTTTTGGTTGTCAAAACTAAGGGCAGGGGGACAATAGTACCTGCCTGGGAGCTCTGGTGACACGGTCTGTAGGGAATTGTGCTGATAACAACTCAGTGTGGCACCTTTCTGGTGGTTTTTTTGAGGGAGAAAAATGGACAATCCCTCCTGTGTTATTTATAGCCTCTGAAAACTCACTGGAGGGTCGGCTATGAGTTAATTCTGACTTAACAGTGATGAGCTGAGGTGGAAAAAGACAGGGAAACTACTATATAGCCAACAGAGCACAGAATAAACCCCGCACAACCAAGACTTCTGTGGTCATTAGTTGTCATCAAGAGCTGGCCCCCATACATGCACACACAAAAAAATTAAATGCTGCGTTCCCCGCTTAATGGTTACCGATTGGGCTGCTGTGATCATTAAGGCTGATTTTCAGAATTGGTCACTAGGCCTTTTTCCTCATCTGTGTTAAGTCTGGAAACTCCCGAGACTCATTCAGCATCTCAGCATAAGTCCCTACCGACAGAGCTCCAGGAGCATGAGGGGCACTGAGGGAATCAAGCCTCCGTCTTCTGCATGGAAGTCAAGGACTCCACTGCAGTCCAAAATGCCAACAGCGCCTCAGAGGCCCCTGCCCTGGAGGAGAAGCGGCAGTAGTCGTCATCTGTCAGTAGAGGCAGCTCAATCTCACAGAGGTAGATGGACCAGTGGAGGTCACACAACAGGCAGTGGCAGATCCCAGGACATCCATTTCCATTGCTCAAGCTATCTCTCTAGGATGGCCAGACCAGGTTCAGAAAAGACGACACCAAAGAAGAATCACAGACACGTCCATTCTTCTGGGGTCTGGTCCTCAGGAACAAGAGGAGTTGTTGCTGGCAGTCTGTTTCTGTTGGGTTCTGACACTCTGTCATCATAGCAGTCATCTTCTCTGTTCCTATGGCTAACTGAGGCATTTGACTAACTAGAAGGCTGGCTGGAAGGGAGAGGGACCCTGGAATAATAGCACTGAGTAAGTCTACATGCAGAAAAACAAGTTCTTGGTGGAATCCTTCACCATGTGACTTCTGCATGTTCCCAATCAGAGTGACCACTGGGGGGAGGGTGGGGAATGAGAGAGCTGATGATTACAAAACTCCAGTCCTGTCAGTCTCACTGTTCTTCCCCCTAAGAAGTTAGCACCATTTCCAATGTCTATATAACAACTGAAGCTCACAGAGGCTATGGGCTGCCAAGCTGAGAGATCAAAATGTGAACCCTGGTCTGTCCAACTTAGTGCCTTATGTTTTAACAAAGATTTGTTTCAAGGGGTCCCTATAAAATGGTTAGAAACTTAGAATGATACTGATAGCTGCAGAGTCTTTTTTTTAAAAAAAAAATTGAGGCAGGGAAAGATCTGACTAAGCAGTGAATAATGATAGCAGATTTTCTAATTATATTTTTTTTTAAGATTTTCTAATTTTTAAGAGGTTCTGCTTATGGAGCAGTTCCTGGGTGGTGCAAAAACTGTTAATGCACTGAACTGCTAAGTGCAAGGTTGGAAGTTTGAGTATACCCACAGGAAGAAAGACCTCACTATATGGTTCTAAAAAGGTAGCCATTAAAAATCCCATACAGTTGATTTAATGACCACTGCTCTTTTCTTTGTTAATTTTTGTTGGTTAATTTTAGGGAAATTATGGGGTACCAGATTGGGCAGTAGTGTGGTCTGGCAGGAGACACACTTGTGGAGCTGCCATAAATCTTGATTTACAACCTGGTTCATTCTCCTGCTGTAGTCTCAAGCATACACCTCACCTTTCTGAGTCATTGTCACCTCCTCTGTAAAACGGCTTAAGAACCCCTTGGTGTGAGGACAAGAGTGGATGGGCAACGATTGATTTATACAGCTTTATCTATTTTGGTTGTGCCAGCTGACAGAGCTGGTGGAAGGTAACACAGAAAGTTTCCTTTAGTTGCCATATTGGTGAAAAGCATCTTCATACCCTAAAGGCAAGTCAGTAACACGTTCAACAGGCTCAAACAAGAAACCACGATTTGGCAGCATTTGAGACAGTTAACAAGGAAAAAAGCAAGTGTGGCAAGACAACTTAGTTCGCCTCTGGAATCAAGGGAAACTTCACTCTATTTAAAGATGCCACAGGTCCAGGAAATAGCTTCCCACAGCCTGGCTAAGGATGGAATAACTGGCTGCCCAGCCAATAACAATACAGACTCTTAACAGCACACCCTTTCTAGTAGAAAGAGCAGAGCCCATTCCCGTCTATCTCCTTTCAGAATTTTGTAGGCTATTCTAGGCAGGCATGTAGATCTTCCTTGTAAGAGCAAGCTTTCTTAAAATAAGTACAATAAGAAAATAGACCCAAAGACCCCTTGCAGAGAGGCCAGGGACTGACTTGAGTCAGCCAACGCCCTTTTCTAGTCATTGTTCTGCACTTCTTTGTTAGGATTTTTTCCCTCCCTCACTCCCTCCTTTTGCTCTTTTCCCCCTTCCTGATTAACTTCCTCAGAGCTAAGCTCTGCCATTGCTCACTTCTCACCACTGGAGACACCATGGTCCCCTTCACCAGTAGAGGAAGACCCACATCTGGATCCACCATCCCACTTCTCTCTTATACCTCAATCTAGAACCACTGAGAGAACCAACTAAGGCCACTTGAACTCTCAGAAATGAACCCCAATGGGCCGTGAAAGTTGTATAACACTTGATGTCAGTACCTGCCCTAGGCACACCTTCTAGAGGCAAAAAAGGCCTGAACGCTATTATGCGCTAGTATATGTAGTTAGTCTTTCTGAGCCTCAGTCTTCCCATCTGTAAAATGATTCTACTGACCCATTTTCTCCAGTCCATTACATCTGGATTCTCAATTTCCAGGGTGAAATACTAAAAGGGAACTTTTTATATTTTTCAACAGAAGCTATTGGAGAGAGAGGACAGAGAAATGTTTGTTAACCTTTCAAAAGTGCAGATATTCAAATAACATATTTCGAGATCTGTTGCATCGTTTCAGGCTCTCTTCTCCAAAAGGAAGGAGGCGAACTTCTAGGTCCCTAGAGGGGCTACCTGTGGCCAGGCACTGTGGATCTGAGTGCCTTGGGACAATCTGAAAGACGGGGACTGGGGTGGGGATGGGGAGTCCAGTCCGCGAAGAGCAACATATTCTCCCTCTCTGTGTCGCTACACTGGCAGCAGCCTGACGCTGCCTCCGTTGGGCAGTAGGAGTGGGCTGTTGGGGGTTGGGGTGGGGTGTCTAGGAGGAGACAGAAAAGGCAAAAGGAGCAGAAGACAGGCAAGCAGGCAGACGAAGCAGGAGCAAGGGATGGAAGAAGAGAATGGGGCAAAAGGGGGGAGGGGGAGGGGGAGCAGCCGGCAGAGACCCGGGCCGCGCAGACCGAGGGCCGAGGTGGGAGTGCAGGGGAGAGGAGGAGGGGAAGCTGGGGAGAGGAGTAGGGAAGCAGGAGCTGAAGTTTTCCAAGCCCAGGGGCTCCCGATCCCCCCGTGGGGCGCGGGCTCGAGGGGGCGTGGGGCCGCGGCGCACTCACATAATGCTTGTTGGGAACCCGCCGCTTCTGCACGTCCAGCACCTTCACCTCCACGATGCTGCGCCGCGGCGGCATGGCCGCTCCTCCAGCCGCTGCGGGCCGAGCGCGGGTGTGGGAGAGCAGGGTGCGGAGCGCCGCGGACCGGGGCCGGGCCGAGCGCGAGTGGAGCCAGGGCCGAGAAGCTGCCGCCGCCGCCCTTC